ATAGAAGTGATCTTAGGAAAGTTCTCATTTAATCTGTGTGCCTCAGTACTGTCATCCTTGCAATGGGGACGGCAAAGTCCCTACCTCCTAGGGTTACTGTGAGGATTACATAATGTCAATGAAGCCCTTAGCAAACTCCACATGCTCTGTTCATAAAGTTAGAGTTATCTGATGTTTTTTAAAGAAAAGAAGCAAAAGGACCCAGGACTGCAGCAGACAGGCTAATTATCCTGTTAGAGAGCATTAAAGGAAAGGCTGAAGGAGGAGAGAAAATTTCAGAGCTGGAAAGAGAACTTGAGATGCAGTTACCATGCTGGGAAACCGGAGGCGTCCAGAATTCACAGGAACATTGGCTAGAGGACTTTCCTGTGGGATCCAGGAGACTGCACAGCTGGCAGATGTGAGAGCTCTGATGGAAGCATTTTTACCTGTGGTGGAAGGAAGCTCAGATGCTGTTTCTCCAGGAACTAGGAGTGAGCAGAAGTTAGAGGCACAAACAGGAGCCAGAGGTACTCTCCAAGCCAGCCTAAGGAAGAGCTTGCTGACACAAGGAGAAGACAAAGAGAGCACCCTGGGAAAAGGCTATTTTATGGTCTGAGTTTATCCCAAACCAACTGCAAAAAAATCTGAAAAGTCACCTAGCTTCAACTTGAATTTTACTTCTGAGGAAACCAAGGCCCTTAAAAGGGGAGTAATTGTGTGATGTGGCTTGATGTGCCTGGGGTGTTGGGATAAATGTGGGGTGTGGCCACTGTAATGGCCAGAGGGGATAAAGGACTACCAGAAAAGATAAACTGAGGATAGGCTGCACAGCCAGAGAAGAGGGTTTAAGATGAAAAGTCCATCTCCGCCATCCCTTTATTATGATCCCGGGCAGTGGCAACAAAAAATAACTGGGATTAGAGACAATGGGAAAATACAAGGAGAGTGAAACCTTCATTCTGGGGGCTATTTGGGAGAACTCAGAGCAAAGTACATCCCACAGGCATCTGATACCCCCAAACATGCCTTCTACGTAAGGCAGAAGGTGACCACTCAAATGCCTGCAGGGTAAGGTGGAGATGTGAACCAGAAGAGTGCAGGATAGCTGGCGGGGGGCAGGGGGTAGACTGGCAAACAGGAAGGCGCCACAGAAGGAGTTCACAGTCAACTTGTAAAAAACACTGGCCTTGCCAAAGGAAACACATGCCACCAGTTTGCAAACACTGTACTACATGGTGTTAAAGCAAAATATTTTCAGTGGTTTAAAGGCTAAATGAAACTATTAGTCTAAAAACATCTAGGAAATGCCAGTTTCGTTTTAAAGATGATCTCAATTGAATAGAAAATGAAAAGTCCTGGTATTTTCCCATCTACATATTGATAAAGAGGATGTTTTAATTCCGTGACACAGTGTCTCTCTCTCCTTTGGAAAAAGGGAGGAGATATCCTTTACCTCCAGCAACAAGCATGGTGTTTGAAACATTGGATGAATGGTAATTAATAAATGTTTGTTGACTGAATAAAGGAGATTATGAGTAGACCAAAGCACTAGCTGGAGGCAGAATGATAACCTCTCTTTTTGAGGGTATAAAACCGAGGGGGGGGGGGGGGGGCAGTCCCATGGCCGAGGGGTTAAGTTAGCACTCTCCGCTTCGGTGGCCCAGGGTTTTGCTGGTTCAGATCTTGGGCACGGACATGGCACCACTTGTGAGGCCATGTTGAGGTGGCATCCCACATGCCACAACTAGAAGGACCCACAACTAAAATATACAACTACGTACTGGGGGGTTTGGGGAGAAGAAGCGGGGAAAAAAAAGAAGATTGGCAACAGTTGTTAGCTCAGGTGCCAATCTTTAAAAAAAAAACAAACTGAGGGGCTGGATCTCCAGCTCTAACCTCCTCTTCCCCTTCAGGGTTTACTTTTAACTCCAAACATCTTCGTAGGAGGCCAAGGCCTTCAGTGTTCTGACCTTCCTCACCTCACTGCTCCAGCAGAGGACAGGGAACACGGGCAGCAGCCCAAGGACAGTTATTACAGAACTCACTCTGCAGGCAGCATCCAAGCGGACTTGGTCCTTTGGGAAGGAGGCAAAGGAACTTCAGTGCTCAAGCTGATAACTCTCCTAATTTCTGAGTTCATGGCTCTTTTTTTTTTTTTTTTTTTTTTTTTGAGGAAGATTGGCATTGAGCTAACATCTGTGCCAATCTTCCTCTATTTTGTATGTGGGACACCACTACAGCATGGCTTGGTGACCAGTGCTAGGTTGGCACAGGGATCTGAACCTGAGAACCCCTAGCCACCAAAGCAGAGCACGGGAATTTAACCACTACAGCAACAGGTTGGCCCTGACTTCATGGTTCTTGAGTACAAAGTGGGGGCACCTACCTCACAGAGCTGTGAAGAGTCAGTAATATCATGTATGTAGACAGCCTGGCACATAGTAAGCATCCACTGAACTGTGGATACTATTATCTATTATGGAAATAGTTGGAGAATGAATTTTTTTGCATGGACCTAATGTTGAGGGGGATAGGACAACATACTGAGAGGCTGGGGAAAACAAAATTATTTCAACAGCTGCTTATAAAACTATCTTGGAAAAGGTAGAAGCAGATAAGTGTTTAAATAACTAAAACTCCCTACATTTAAACACAAATCCTTCTCTGTACTTGTATACCCCTAGGTATTGTATCGAGCTCTTCTGGAGGAAGAGGTAACAGGTAACAGTGTTTACCTCCAGGCAGGACTTGAACTGGGAGCAGCAGCTGGGAAAGACTTTGTAAAATGTTGCTGCGTCTATATTATCTTTTAGAAATTCACAATTCATTTTTAAATTAAATGCTGCTAGTTTAAGATTTCTCCTAGGCTTGCTAAATTTGGAAGAACTATGAAATTGAGACGGTCTGCTTTCAGCTTTTACTGTCAGAGCCCTGGTACCGCCCCCTACTGCCTGGTACCCATCACTGCAGCTGCTCCCTGCAGCCACAGCGGGGCTGGCTCAGGACCTGTTCAACGTGGGCCACGTTAATACTATAAGCAATGAATGCATAACCGTTGCCTCCTCAGATACCCCATTGCTTCAATGGCCGCAAGGCTAGGTACTGTGAAGGATGACATTACCTCATGCCTCATTCTTGCTGGGCAGGTGAAATAATAGATTATTTCAATTATGATATATGCATCCATCATCCATTTTTTTCCCACTTTAAACTTGACCATTACCAGAAGCAAAAGGACTTTTCTACTTTCCCAGTTGTATCTGAAGTGCCCATCATTTTAGCAATTAAATTTTTATTAACTTATCATTTGCTACGGTAATTTCCTTCTTTGCATATTTGAAATGGAGGCTATCATCTCACATACAAAATTTCCACCCGTACTTTGAGTGAAAGGTTCTGAACTCTGATTCAGACTTTTCAGTTGTTCTCTAGGCTCTTTACCGCCATGTTGTATGTTTTTTAAAGTAATATTTTTATTATTTTAAAATCAATATGTTCTTATTATAAAGATATTTCGAGAAATTCAGTAAAACATAACGAATAAAAGCAAGCCCTAACTCCACCAACAGATAATACTAACATTTTTACTTCCTTCCAGTTCTTCTGATGCCTATACGTTTTTATACAGTTTTCATGCTGAATTTCGAAGTCTGTAAAGTACATTTCCACTGTCATACATAAATGTGAAAAGTTTGTCCTTGTTAAATATTGCAAAGATATTCTTATTAGAAACGGTCGTAGTACTAGAAACTGCCAGGCATGTTTGGATATAAGGGGCGAAGGCACTTTGAACAGACCCTCCAATTCAAGGTTAGTATCCGCGGACGCCCTGTAAATGCCATATTTGCGTTCCCTTACACAACCTCTGGCCGTATATCACACAAAAGATCACTTTAGGCTGAAGTTCTTCCAGGGCACCGCCTCCTCGCTCCATAACCTTGTGTCCCTGGCCTTTGACAAATATTTGGGCATTGAATGGAATTCTTAGGGGCCTGGTCGGGCGACTTAAGTAGGTAATGGTGCATGATCCCAGGCAAGGGAGAGGTAAACCAGGGTCGGGGACCCGCGAGGGGCGTAGCGGGACCGTGCACAAGTAGCTTTGAAACCTGAGCGGGTGGCAACCTCTTTTTTTTTTCTTTTAATTTACTTTTGCTTCTCGGTGTTTTCACTCGCTTGGGAAAACAATCTGGATCTCCTCCTCCACAGGGCAGTTTCCCAAAGTGCGGCCGGCCCCGGTGCAAGGCCGGGGGGCGTGTTCCGCGCCCGGGCCCGGTTGGGCCGCGCCGAGGCCAGGAAACCCACCCCGCGCCGAGCTGCGGGCATAAGAGAGCGGCGGCGCGGGGCAGCTACGGGCTTCGCAGGGGCGACGCTCGCCTAGCCGGTCCGCATCCTCGCCCGGGACCCGCCCGACACCACGAAGATGGCACCCGTCGGGGGCAAAAAGGCCAAGAGGGTGAGTCTTCTGGTGACCCGAGGGCGCTCTCCATCCCGGCGGGCTCTGGGCCCCGCACCCAGCCCCGGGGAGTGCAGGGGGCCCTCGGAGCCCGGCTGTGACCAGAAGGTGCTCCCAGAACTTCTCCCGAAGGACCCCAGGGCGCCTCTGAGCCCCTCACTCCTGCCCCACGTCTAGAGAGCGCCCCAGATCTCTGTGACCCCTGACTCGAGGGCGCCCCCAGAGCTCCGAGAGTCCCAGCGTCTTCGGCGTCCCGCACCCTAACGCCAGAGCGCTCCCCGAGAAGCGTGGCTCCTGGACCCACTGGCGCGACGCCCCCCGCCTCCCCCGCCCCCGGCGGTGAGACTAGGGGTCCCCGCGGCGCGCCCCGGCTCCTCGGTGCCTGTGACCGCGCCGCCGCCCCCTGCGCCCTGCGCCCGCCCGGCCAGGAGGCGCGCGGCGCGGGTCCGACCGTTTCCCGCGGGCTGTCCCTGCGCGCAGCCGCCGCGCCGCAGCCCCACGGCAGGGCGTTGGTTGGGCGATGGTAACTCCTCACCCGCAGTTGGTTTCAGCGATCACAACAAAATGCACCACGCGGGCCTCGAAAAAAAGGGCACAGAGGCCATAAGATATGGAGGAAGGGCTGTTGATAAGGTTTAAAAACAAAAAGCCAGCGGCTTCTGCACGTGATTGACAAGCAGCAGATTACTTCCCTTGTTGGGACTAGTGTTCCAGTCCAGACTCTTGGCCTTAGTCTAGTTTGGGGGATGGATGGATGGATGGGTCGACTGACCGCGGGACTGTGGTCGGGCGGGTGGGATGGGTTGCAGGACCTCCGGCAGATACCAAAATCCGCGGTGTTTAAGTCCCCTAGTCAGCGCTCGGTATCCGCCGGTTCCGCAGCCGCGGATTCAACCGACCACGGAGAGGGTAGTACTATGTTTACGATCCTCGGATCCAGGATGCGGCGGGCCAACTGTATATACTACTTGACCCTTGGGTGCGAAAGCGCCCAGCCCCAGGTCCGGCTGGCAAGGGCCCCGGGGATTGGGAGGGAGGCAGATGGGGCCAGGCCGACTGTACCCCCTTGGCTGTAAGGACCGTGAGGGTAGTTCCACCTCCCATCTTCAGTGCCAGCCATCGCTTTAGGAATGGGCTATGGCCAGTTTCCAAAGGGCTGAGCCACAAATCGAAAAGACCTCCCCACCAAGAAAAAAGCTAATTCAGTTAAATTTTTAAAATACCATGCAGCATTAATAGAGGCATGTCCATAGTGCGAGGAAGATGTGGGGATGGCAGACGATTATAGGCTGTCACCAGTTCAATCAGGTTGAGAATTTTTGCCAATCCATAAGTCTACTAAATGAATGGTCAGCATAGACTGAAAACGATGATTCCTATAGAAATTTAAATTTGGGGGGGGGGGTTGACCCCATTCGCATAGCCATGGATTCTAACCCACTCCCCAAACTCAAATTCAGAAAATGAAACATTTTAAAGGATTATCTTTAAAGGATGATATAAACTACAGATGGAGTAAGATGGAAAAAAAATGTTTGGTAACCTTGTTTCCATGTGTATGTGAGTGTTAAAACATGGACAATAACATGTCCATACTCTTGAGTTTAAAATTAAAACATATGTTACAAAGCTAACACATCTTCATTGTAAAAGCACTCTGAACCGCGCCTGCTACATTTTGGTGCATATTCTGCTAGTTTGTTGTCTAGGCAAATATGTACTTTTTACAGAAATGGTCTGATATTACACTTACTGTTTTGTAATACTTTTTCACAAAATAATATCTTGAACATTTTTTTCATAGCATGTTTCACTTTTTTTAACAAAAAGCTATTTAGCTTAGGAACAGAAAAGTTTACAATCCAGGTAATTAAAAAATGCACTAGAATCTGAGAGACTTTTTCCAGACGCAGTTGCTCAACGAGTTTATGAACAGTGTGGTAATGGAATCACCACTGGCCACTCCACCACCAACATCAGATTCTTAGCTACACTCTGCATTTAAATGTCTGCGGTACTAGAGTCTGAACACACACACGTTCAAGGAGAGTTGCTAACTGACTGAACAAAATGTCATGAGTTATTTTACCCAAATGAAAGTTAGAAGCAAGTCATCTCTCATTTATTCTACTCTTATTCGTGTTTTTGCTATAACTGCACTGACTAGCAGTGTATATATTTCTCTCGTTAATTGGGTCATAATGATCAAAGTTGTAGTTTTAAGATGTGGCATTTAGACACATTGCAATCATGACAGATATGTGAATTTCAAAATTACATGAGATAATTCTATATTTTTGTAGTTGTTATCTCATGGACTTCCATGCTTGAAAATTTTTCTATCTGGAAGGATATTCAGGAACATATAGCAGAATCCTCCAATTTTACTGCTTTAAAGTGAAAATGTCCATTGTTTCTTCTCTCTGGGCACTAGCTGACCAAATGGCATAGGAGGGGAAGAGGTTTAACACAAGCGAGGCTCTAAGCAGGTGGCGAGGACGTTAGGATGCACAGTCCTATGACCTCCTCTCACAGATGTATGTAACCTTGCTATTATATCAGTGCTTGTTGTATCAACCATTACTGGTAATCAATGGAACCCAGTAGGTAAGTAAGTTCCAAGTTATTCCTTTACACAGTCTTTTCAGGGCTGTACCACCCTGCAACCCCCATTTATAATCAAATCTAGATACCATTCGAGGGTAAAAGAGTCTGGAGGCCCTATACTGCCCACCTGGGAGACTTTGTGTAAATTACTCAGAGATCCCAGGCCTTAATTCTTTCTTTGTAAAATCAGAGAGTGACCTAAATTGAATATAGGGTACCTTTTATTTTTAAATTCTACAATTGTTTTAAATTAAAAAAAAAATGGTTCCACTAGAAAATCACTTTCTAATTCAAAAAGCCCTTTAAAAATACCAAATTCAAAATGTATCTGTTGAACGTTAACACCAGGGTAATTATTGCATAGCACTGTAAATGGAAAAGGTATGGAGATTGGGCTGGAAATTAGTTACAAATACTTTATTTACCTGTCTCTTCCCTGAGTTCTTGTCGTCTCAAACTTGTAGAGTGCAAGCGTGTGTACCCATAACCCCCTGGACAGTGTAACGTAGCTGCTGTGAGGAAGCTGAATTTTAACACCAAAGGTAGAAGACGTTAAGTGCCTTGGCCACCTTTGTGCAAGCGTCTTCCTCCTCCTCTCTTTACCAAGCGTCTTCACCGAGTGAAGTGTCTTCAGTCTTCAAGGGCCTTAATAGCATTATATGCCACTTCAACTTCTTTATCAATTTTAATCTCTTTCGTTTATTGATAGAATAAGAAGCAAGGCTACCCTTCGCCCATTTAAGAGTGTATGCTTAAGTATTCATTTGAGGCTTTACAGTAAACATTTTCACTTAATCCCACTGCAAATCTCTCTTCAAACATAACATCCACCATATTCTTCAAAACCCTTGAATGTTTTCTGAAAGACCCTACCCGTGGCACATGTATTACACATATTTTCATTATATCAGCATTCTGGTTGTTTGCCTTATAGATAGTCATAAATTTATAAAATATACATGTACTTTCTGAGAATTCTAAAGAATCATCCTTCTCAGAGAAGAACATGATAGCAAAAGTGCTACAAACAGAAAATTGCCTTGAAAACTCAAGTAACTCCTTTTCTCCCCCCTTATCTGTAATTGTAGGGCATCCTAGAACGTTTAAACTCGGGAGAGGTTGTCATTGGCGATGGAGGGTTTGTCTTTGCCCTGGAGAAGAGGGGCTATGTTAAGGCAGGTCCCTGGACCCCAGAGGCTGCCGTGGAGCACCCGGAAGCAGGTTGGTGCCTCGCTCTGTTCTAAGTGCTCGTAAAAGAGCTTGTGTTGACCCAAGTCTAGGAGCATGCCATCAAACAGATGCATTCACGCCACGTTTTCCAAATATTTATTATTGCCCGCTGGCAACTGTGCAAGTATATAAGTGCAAATTCACATGTTGGAAAAGCACAATGGCCCTTCTGGTTGCTGTCATCTGTATTTACCACTTGGTCCCTGCCCCTCACTCTAGATGAGTCTAAAACCTGGCTCTCTGCCTTTCTCTCTGCCCCTTCCTCCCTCACCTCTCTAGGTGACTTCAACATCCATACAGGTGATGCATCCAGCACTCTGCCTGTTAGTGCCTTGATCTCCTCCGTGTCTCCAGTTGAACTCCTCCTCCGCCTCCACCTCCACAACCCTTCCCTGGACCTTGCCCTCCCCATGGCTGTCCACCTCCTCAATATCACAAGTACCCTGCTCTCTGATCACCACCTCCTACCTTTTCTGCTCACTGTCTCTCATACTCCCAGTCCTCAACCTCATCAAGACTCTCAGTCCTCCGTCCCTTCCATTTTAGTGCTTATTTTCCATTATCACCCATATGTCCCCCTCCGTTCCTTACCTACTTTAAGTTCATGGTACAGCATCACCACTGTCCTGCAGATAAGCCCCCCTCCATTGCATATTTGCCAACTAGTTAAATTCATTCTATTGTACTAGCCCCACCCGATTTAAATTCACCTATCTACCTATCCAGCACCTGCACCCACACACTTTATTCTCACTTTACTTTTTTGACCGCAGATCTTTCATGGCCGGGTGGGAAGGTGGGATGGAACCTGAGGGAGATAATGCTGTCTTGCAAGGCCTCTGCATCCTCCTCAAGCAAGAGGGAAGCACTCATCTTTAAGAGGGAGGAAGAGGCCACTTCTTCAGGCCCAGAGAGGTCAGCAGCCATCTGGGTTTTCAAGGTTCATGGGTGAATCCACCCATCTGTCTTCCTCCCAAATCTCAGTGTCCCATTTCTTCCTAATAAGGCCCTGACTTTGGCAATTGAAGATTTCCCTGGTTGAGAATTCAACCTCGCTGGAGCTCTGCTCCTGGTATAATTTAGTCCTGGGCCAGATCCTCAGCTTTTTCTGCTCTCTAACTGCAGGAGTTGAGTCTCTCTATATGCTACCCAGGAGAGCCGCAGACTTTCCCCCTTTGCCTTAAAGAGGTGATGAATTACTCTTAGCCTTTCATGGTCTTTCTCCAGTGCATTGGTGGTACCCAACAATAGCCATATGATTCCATACTCTTTATAATCACTACTTCCCCTGAACCTTTCAAACATCTGAGATGCTGCACCTGCTGGTGAGAGGTTTAACAGGTGTGCCCCTAGAGCATGCTAGGAGCTCTGTCACCAGTGGTGGGCTGGGTGCTCATTACCAGCAGTCCAAAAGGAGATCCAGCGCCAAAAGCAATGCTTTCGATTTGTTTCCTAGGACTTGTCCTGGCTCCGCCTGTTGCAGGTCAGATCACTCAGTGGTAAATATAGTATAGTAAATATTTAAAGCAGATGTACAGTGCATGCTCAACAGGCCATGTCAGGCCCTTTGGGAAAAACAGGGTCAGGCCAAGTTAATTTTAAACCAAATGCCTTCCTCATATACTCCAATATATCCTATTGCTTTTCATTTACTTATCACCAGTGGGGTTTGTTAAATATTACAGATTTCCAGCCTCCACTTACAGAGATTTGTGTTCCTTAGGTCTGTGAGGGAGTCCAGGGACCCGCACGCTTATAATTGTCCCCAGGCGATAGCCAGGTGAACCGCACTTTGACCAACATTGCAATAAAAGGCTTTAAGAAACACAAAGGAATAATTCAGATCCAACAGTGGGGATTTCAGTGTATCTCTGGTCTGTTTCTTAAGATCTGCTTGCTAGGTTCAACTCAGAATGAAATATTTCTTAGGCCAGACTGAAAAAAGCTTCAATTTTGTCACTTAAAAAAATGTTATGCATTGAAGGAGCTCAAGAGAAAGTGCTCTGATTGATTTGATTTGCTTTGATTTTATTAATGCAGAAACAGCGCATTTTCTCTCTTGGCCATCTGTGTCTTGAGTATTTTTAGCTCATTTAAGTTTGTTGAGTATCTGCTCCACTTTTTCTTCTGGGTGTTCCATGCTTTTCAAGAATTAATGAGAAAACTCCATGATACTGAGTCATTAGAGTTAATCCTTTCTGGTACCGACTGAAATCCCGTATATTTGACTCTGCCAGTGCCTAGCTGGAATTCTGTCAACTGCAGTGGACTAGAGGATGCATCAGAAAAGACACATCCGTAATGCATCTTCAAGGCCTATCCTCACAGCACAGCTGATGGAGTGAGCCTTGGGGGTGTGGGGAGGGGTGAAGGGTATTTGGAACAGTCATGCTCTGAGAGAAGTGGTCAGTTTTGATGCTCTTTTATGCAAATGAATTTGTGTGTCTGCAGGTGCTTTTCTAATTAGACTGGGTGAGAGCTAGAATTGACGTAGGCCCTCAAGATCCCCTGCGAGCTGGACTGCACCTGGCACACTTTTGTAGGACCCGGGCCTGGGCTTGACTTTTTAGCACTGGAAACGATGAGAAAGGGAAGGTTATGCTACAGGTCCACAATCCCTTATCAAAGCCATTTTGGGGCCGAATGTGGAATCCAGACTCCTAGAGAATTTTAGAAAGTTAATATAACATATATACTATATATGATGTAAGACTCTCATTAAGGTCTGAAGCCCCTCCATCGCATTAATACTTTTTTTGCATCAAAATATGTAACGACCCACATTGAATGGGATACAATTGTAAATATCCTCACATTAGTTCAGGTCACATTTTGCCCCCAAATGATTTTGCTGCAAATATATTATCCCACTAAAGAAATACTGCAAAATTTTATTTGGTCTTTTAGAGTTCACTGTGGAATTCCAAAGCTTTGCATTTCTCAACTAAACTTACAAGGGTAATACCTAACTATGCTCTATGCTTGTATAACTGTACATATATAACTGCACATATATTACATAACTAGGTAACATTTAGCTCTGTGATGCTAAAACAAAACTAATATAATGAAGAGTTTAAGGCCATAAAATGAAAGTAATTAGTACAGGTTGTGTCATTGTCATAGGGGTCAGTCACAATCTGTTATTGGTTAGAGGATGAAGACCCTAGGAGACTCTAGGAGTCCGAGAGAAAAGAGAAAATAGAAGTTGAAACAGAAGATGGAAATTGAAAATGAAATTACCAGTCTCTAATTCTCCTGCTAACTTTATGCCAAAAGCTACGGTTCTTACACCCAGGGGCATCAGCATTGAGTTCGGCAAGGAATCCAGGTTTGCCAGATCAAGGGGGATTTGGGGAGCCTGAGTTTATAATAATTGGCCCCCCCCCCCCGGTGAGTCTAAGCTGGGTCACGCTTTGAGAAACATTGCAGTTTTAAAAAGCATGCTGGACTAATCGAATCAATTAAGAGCAAGGAGCTGAGTCACTGCCCTCTGGAAAAATCTGATAAAAGGGTACAGACCCTCCGCAGTGTAAAATGTACATATGTATGCACAAACAATTTGTACACCATTCCAGGGTTTTTTTTTTTTTTACGTCTTCTCTGGAAATCCACCCCAGGACCACCTGGGTCGACTTCCTGCTTGTGAACCATTTCATCCTGGTGTACAGGAACCTAGTCTGTAGGCCCTTCACCCCTGGTCCAACCACAGCAGCTCAGTGTTTATCTGATCCATATATGGGGACTCTCCATATAAGGTGTGTTTAATCGGTTCTGATGCTAATTAAAACAAGTTTGAAGTCCCCTAATTTAGGCATGCTTTTAAGTTCCCATGAGAACAAAAGTTCTCATGATTTTAAAAACAAAGATTTGGCTTCAAGCTTAGAAACCCATTTTCTGAAATTCAAAAGATTTTTTACCTTGCTTATTTGTCCATTTAAAAACAAAAACCGAGCTTCCAATGTTGTCAGCGCTCTACTAGGCACCTGGGATACACAAGTGCCAGACTCTTCTCCCTGGGGGGCTAAGAACTCCAGTGTCCTAATAATTTCCTAGCCTCTAATGCAGGTGCCCCTAGACCTTTGGATTTTATAGGCCTCTGAAATTTCAATATAAATTTTAGGGGCTGATATAGGATTACTTTGCCCAGTTAATTCTCCTGACACAAACAAACACCATCTGGGTCTCACTATCATTTTATAAAATGAACATTTTTCCACTGTCTTTTTTTGTGTGTGTGAGGAAGATTGGCCCTGAGCTAACATCCATGCCAATCTTCCTCTACTTTGTATATGGGACACCACCACAGCATGGCTTGATGAGCGGTGTGTAGGTCTGCGCCTGGGATCCGAACCTGCCAACCCTGGGCCACCAAAGCAGAATGTATGAACTTAACCATTACACCAGAGGGCCAGCCCCTTTTCTGCTGTCTTAGAATGGCGATTCTCAACAAGGCGGAAAATAGGAATCAGTTGGGGAAGCTTTAAAAAAAATGCCTGTGCCCTGCCCCAAACAAGTTAAATTAGAATAACTGTGGGTTTGACTTTTGCATCCATAATTTTTTAAAAGTTTGTGGGGTATCTAGTGGGCAACCAGGGTTTAGGACCACTATTTTAGAGCAAAGGATAATTCTTTAAATTGAATATGTTTGGCTTTATGGAAAAGAAATCCCACCATATTTCCTCCGGCCAGTGAAAGCTTTGCCACTTGGCATTCATCCGTGGACCTATGCTTGGGAACCTTGTTCCAATTCTTATTCCACTCTGCTGCCAGAATTAGCTTTCAAAAACATAGAGTTAATCACATCACTCCATTGCTTACAAACTTGATGTTCCCCCAGTACCTGTGGTCTGGAGCCTTGACTCCTTGGGATGACATCCTGGGCCACCGGTACTCTGTCTGCCAGTCCACCTTTCCAGCTGCATCTCCCACCACTTCTCCAACATTTCCTATTTGCTGTTCCCCAAAATGCCACACCTGTTCCTGCCTCCTGGTCTTTGCTCAGGCTGTTCCCTCTGTAGGGAATGCCCTTTCCACCTCTCTGCCGGGCAAAAATGCTGACATGATTCTTCCTCTGTGGGACCGCCCTCTTCTCTTTGCCCCCACATGTGTGGTAGAAATAATCTCTTCTTCCTGGCAAGAGACCTCGGATCCACCTCTCATTGGCCCCCAGGATGCACAAATGGCAAGCAACCAGGAATTTATGCAAGTTATTTTCATATTTTATGTGAGAGCCTTTTGAAAACACCATGGGTGAATAAGCTGACAGCAACTTCTACCTCTCCTCGTTCCATCTCCCAGTTCGCCAGCTTCATCGAGAGTTCCTCAGAGCTGGATCGAATGTCATGCAGGCCTTTACCTTTTATGCGAGTGAGGACAAGCTGGAGAACAGGGGAAACTACGTTGCCGAGAAAATATCCGTGAGTAAAATCGCACGCGGAACTTAGAGGAGCGTGGCGGACGCCTGTCAGCACCAAAGCTCTCAGAGAGCAAGATATTAAGCCTCTTCAGAATTCTGTTGTAAATAATACAGGAATGAGACGTGCATGAATAATGCTCGGTTTTTAGCTGGAGTTCCCCATAATTAACAGAAAGACGTTTAATGAAGCAGATCAAAGAAGAGGTGTTGAACAATTAATGATCTTCCCAGTCTCTTGACTAAGTTGCTGAGTGGATATCATTATAAGTTCTTACATCCTTACAGTTTTTTAATGTGGCACGGTGTAGGGGAAAGGCCATAGGCACAAGGAGTCAGCCAGGCTGGAATCTTCCTGACTCACTACAAGCAACTGTTTGATGTTGGACAAACCACTTACCTACTCCCTCAAGGCAGCACTGTCTTCATCTCTAAAATGAAAAGGGAGTTCTAAAATTCCATGAGTCTACGTGACTTACAGTACTGGGTTTTTTTGAGGACAACTGTCAATTTTTAAGGTCTGATTTGAAAAGACCTTGTTATACATTTACCTGTTAATTGAGAAAATACATACTGACAAAAAGTCATGAATTCTATAGTCATTACAATTGAATTTTATGGCTCATCATAAAAGCAAATCATAACCATCATCGTCACCACTATTTGCTAGATATTCTTCTAAGTGCAGCTTGGGCGTTAGAAGGTACCAGATCCTTTTATGTAAAGACCTTACCCTCTCACAGATCTTTGGTGTAATATAGTACCCTAGATACCACCGTCAGATTGGGTTTTATCATCACTGTTATTGGTGCTGATGTTACTGCAAATTGCTCAACTTGGTAAAGCACTGAACGGTTCCATCACCGTCATTTTCCGGAATAAAATCCCTCTTGTGAACGTACAACTGAGATGTGGGTATTTGAATAATAATTTTGTTTCATTTTCACATGAAAATGTAGCTGTGTCATATATTCACCCATTTTAGGGGAAGAAAGTCAACGAAGCAGCTTGCGACATTGCCCGGCAAGTGGCTGATGAGGGAGACGCGTTGGTGGCAGGAGGAGTGAGCCAGACGCCTTCGTACCTTAGCTGCAAGAGCGAGACTGAAGTGAAAAAAGTCTTTGAGCAGCAGCTGGAGGTCTTTCTAAAGAAGAACGTGGACTTCCTGATTGCAGAGGTAAACAACGACGTGAGCAACGATGAGACAAGTACCCTTAGTCCGTTTCCTCTGCCTTTTGCTTTCATGAGGACCATATGAGGTTAGGTGCCAATCGTGACTAGTAATAGTAATGTTTAGCTTTGAAATGTTTTTCTGATTAGGGCTTCTACTAAATTTGATTCTGTTAATCTGATATAGTGTTCTTCAAACCTGTTGACTGCAATTCACAGTAAGAAATCACCATTCTATTCCATCTGAAAAATCCTAATGGGTCATAACTCAGAGTTTGAAAATCACTCATCTAGTGATAATTAAATTATTAAGCAATAGAATAAGTTTTTAAATTATGTGGGGAGAAACAAGATTAAGAGTACCTTAACTTTATCTTATTTCAGTATTTTGAACACGTTGAAGAGGCTGTGTGGGCAGTTGAAGCCTTGAAAGCATCTGGGAAACCAGTGGCAGCGACCATGTGCATCGGCCCGGAGGGCGATTTGCACGGCGTGAGCCCTGGCGAGTGCGCCGTGCGCCTGGTTAAAGCAGGTGATGACGGATTTTGATTGGTTTGCAATTAGCGAGTCTTTTAAAATATCACATAAATCCATGCCCATCTGTGAATCAGTATATACTACTTTGGGTAACAGGAAAACCATTAATTTATTTTCTCAGGAATATTGATAATATCATTGAGTCCCAAAGAGAAAAATGTTAAAAAAAATTTTTTTAAAGATACACACACCAGCCTTTTGAAAGGGGCAACTAGACCTATGCTGGAGGTTTAGCACCTAGAAATGAGAAGAATTTTCCTAAATCATAAGAAGCATTAGGAAAAATTGTGTTCTATTTTAAACTTATCTCAAGTTGAGGTCTTTAAACATTAACAACTTTTAAGTCACTTGCTCTCTTTGCCAAAGTGTTTCATTCTCATAAATTACTGGCATGCTTTGCTTTTTGTAATGGGTATAATAAATCAAAAAAACGTTTGATATGAAATACTGACCACGTAATTTATCTTTTTATATAATTTCCATTCCTATTAATGGGTTCCATTTCAATTAGGGAAAACTCACAGACTGTTTTCAAAGCTGCCATTTTAAACCCAAGGAACAGCTCAGTGTCAGTGGAAGAGTCCGAATCACTCTGTGGAACAGAGAGATTTTGATTGGCTATTTGTTAATTTCTGATTCTTATCCAACTCTTGATATTTCATGAAAGTCACTTCCTACTGGTCATTAACAATGACAATTACTTAGATTTAGTAATGAAATTGGATAATCCTAATTTTTTATTGGAAATATATAAATGGGGGGGCGGGAAGCAAGTTAACTTGTTTTGAAAAGATCAGAGGAGGCCTCATCATCCCCATGGTTAATTGGCAAGGATTCTTGGCCTGCGTCTAATCCTTCCCTCGCTGTTCTGTTCAGAGCAGGTGGCCACCGTGTTTATCACTGTAAACAGTTATAGCCTTTGTAGCACTTCCCATGTATCTCATTCATTCACCTCTTTAGTGTCTGACTCTCCCTCTAGTTTGTAGGATCCAAGAGAGCAGAAACTGTGTCCGCTTGGCTCAGCATTGAGTACCCTGTGCTCAGTGCCTAGCACATAACAGGTCCTTGATAACTATCTGTCTAATAAATCTCATCCATCTCCCAATGTTAGTTCAAATTCTACCTCCACGCACCCTTACATAATCACCCCTACCCCAAGAGATCACTCTCCTCTCAGCAGCTGTAACGCTTTCCATTACACCACTCATTTGGAATATCCTCAGTCGATGTATTCCAGTCTGTGAGAATGTTAATAGCATTCTCTAGTCAAATACTTTTAGAAAATGCTGTGTTAAACCAAGGCAAGCGGGTCTCTTTACTACAGAGTTTTTCAGACCTTTGATATGTTTGTGTGTATTGGTAGTCTCCAAGAAGAAGATATAGTAAATAGCTACCGCCTAACTTAATTGATCCTAGAACCTTATTTTCATGGAGCAAACCTTGGGAAGCCCTGTGCTAAGTTATAAATCCTTGGTGTCAGACTCTGTCCTATGTTTATATTTCTCTATGAGCCCTTAGAAGGACCCTTATACCTAACAGACATCCAATAAATAGCCAACTTATGATTAAGTCATTAGTATAATGAAGTCAAACAAGGAAAGAGAAACTTTGGCAGCAGAACATCCAAAAAAAAAAAAAAAAGGAAAAAGGTAGTCAAATGAAGATGGTAAGCTTTTGAATATACAAGTCTGGAACCCAGTGGAAAGATCAGGGTTAGAGAGAAATTTGAAAGAGTTCTGGACACAAATGTTATTGAAAACCCTGGGACTGAGAAGGAAGCGTAGGTGAAGAAAAGAAGAGAGTTCAGTGAGATCCTGGGACACTACAGGATTGAAGGTTCAGCCTTCAGGAGAGGTCAGCACGTAACACCCAGGGAGGAAGGAGCGACACACAGTGTGGAACATTCTCAGAAGCCAAGGGAAGGGGAGTGTTAGTGGAGGAGGAAATAGTCCACTGGGCTGAATGCTGCTAAGACGTTGAGTGAGGTGAGAACAGAGGAGCAGTACTGATGGAGGGAGTGGCCCACCAGATTGAACACGGCTGAGACAATGAGTAAGATGAGAACGGACGAGTAACTACTGGATTTGACAAGATTGAGGTCATCAGTGCCCTTGACAAAAGCTGATTCAGAGGAATGATGGGAAATGAGCCTGACTGGAAGAAGAATGAAGAGCCAACTGCAGACCCAGCCCAGTGAGAATCACTGAGATGTCTGCCACTGAATACTGGATGCCACGGCTTATGGCATCAGCTCTGCTGCTCATGGAATCTGCATTAGTGTTGTTATTAAATTAGCTTGATGAAAGGGAACATTGATTTTCTCCTCAAATGAATGGTATGGTAACCACAGGTGCAATCTAGCAGCTAGGAGTGTTGAAAAATTATTGTGCTTCCAATATAATGTCAAAGATTGAAAAATTGACTACTAAAATTTGAAGTTAAAAACAAGCCTGATTTTTCTTTTAAAAAAAAAAGATGGACAGCCAAGTGTGCATAAATGACACTTCAGTTATACCAGACTCTTCAAGCACTTTCACAGAAAGCATTTGCTGCCTATTTGTAATCATTCTTGCCCAAAGATAAGACAGGTTTCCAGGGAGCAAGGACCAAACACTGTACTTCAAATTCACCATTGCAAATAAAAGCTCCCTGGTTGAGAGAGGAGTTGGGCCTACGAGTATTATGTGAATACCTAAAGCTAAAATATTCTTCCCACTTGCAGGGGCGTCCATCGTTGGCGTGAACTGCCATTTTGACCCCACAATTAGTTTACAAACAGTGAAGCTCATGAAAGAAGGCTTGGAGGCTGCCCGACTGAAAGCCCACCTGATGAGTCAGCCTTTGGCCTACCACACTCCCGACTGCAACAAACAGGGGTTTATCGATCTGCCAGAATTCCCCTTCGGTAAGACAGACATTTTATAAATCATCTCAATGACAATTTCCAAATCAATGGTCATAGAGCTTTATCAGAGTAAGTAAATGGCTGCCTATCTCCTCTTCTCTCCCCCCCAGCTTCTCTCCCTGCACCCCCAAACTCTTTGATATTAGACAGTAGTAGAAGGAAAAGATGGGACCAGCAAGCAAAAAAGACCTCTGAACTTACATGTAAAATCAAAGGTGACCCAACACCTAGAGAGACGACCAATTAGTCATCTTGTATGTTGGTGAAAAGGATGCCCTTCTGGGTGGGATCCGTGAAGGCTTGGCTCCTGGTTCCAGCTCTGTCGCTGAGTTGTGTGACCTCAGCAGACTGCCTTAGTGCTTCCACATCTCAATTTTCTCATCAGAAAAATATGCAGTTTAGACCAGGTTACCTCCAAGATACTTTTCTCCTGTTGTGAAGGTTGCTCAGATACTCTAGCGTTGGGGGGCAGGGGAAGATACTGGGTTACTGTACAACAAATCTGGATGAAGAGACCAAGCAGATGAAGTGAGGGAATCTGTACAGTCTAGGAAGAGGGATGGAGCATGTTTGGGAAGCGGGGGCGAGTCCACCTGGAAAATCAAGCCAGAGAGGTCAGCACAGCCAGAGCATGGCCAGCCACCTATTCCATTCTAAGGTCCTTATACCATATCCTATGTTCTATAGGGACCCTCAGAGAAGTAAGACATTATAAAACAATCAGCCTAGAAGAACCATGGAAGAAGAGTGGAAAGGAATTTGTGTAATTTATTGCTGTAGAACAAATTATTGCAAAACTTAGTGTTTTTAAACAACAAACATTATATCTCATAGTTGCTGTGGGTCATGAATTCAGGAGCAACTTAGCTAGGTAATTTTTGCTCAGGACCTCTTAAGAGGTTGCAGTCCAGACATTGGCCAGGCTACAGTCATCTGAAGGCCTGATGGGAGCTGGGAAGTCTGCTTGCAAGCTCTTATGGGCTGTCGGGAGTAGTGTCAGCTTCTTGCTGTCTGTTGACTGGAGGCCTCAGTTCCTTGGCTCGTAGGTCTTTCCATCGTGATGTTTGAGTGTTCTCATAGCATGGCTGCTGGCCACCCCCAGGGTGAGTGTTCTGAGAGAGACTGTCATTTATCAACTAGGCTCAGAAGTCAGAGACCATTCCTTCTGCTACATTCTATTGGTCTTGCAGGCTGACCTGATATAGTGTGGGAGGGAGCTACGTGAGGGTGAGACTTCAGGCCAGGGATGTTCGGGAGCCATCTTGAAGGCTGGCTACGACAGCATTTAAAGCTGGATATACAAACACAAAGTAGCTAATAGTTTTTAGAAGTTAAGAATTGAATATTGACAACTTACTTAATTTGTTTATTGACAATTACATATTTTTCATAGCTGTTTATTTTGAATATTTTTTTTAAAAAGAGATGGGGCATAATGCCATTTGTTACAGGACTGGAGCCCAGAGTCACAACGAGATGGGATATTCAAAAATATGCCAGAGAGGCCTACAACCTGGGGGTCAGGTACATTGGCGGGTGCTGTGGATTTGAACCCTACCACATCAGGGCGATTGCAGAGGAGCTGGCCCCAGAAAGGGGCTTTTTGCCACCAGCTTCAGAAAAGCATGGCAGCTGGGGAAGCGGTTTGGACATGCACACCAAACCGTGGATTCGAGCCAGGTAAGAACCTTATAGCATATTTGCCAAACCAAACTCATTTAGATTATGAATATGTCCAAGCGAGATCATTACAAAGAGTGCAGCTAATTTGCTGTGTGATGATAAAGAATCAGTTATCCTCAAATTCTCTCACAGAGATGTTTATAAAATAGCCTTATGGAGTGATTTCTGGAGAAGGCTTTCAGAACATAGAATACAAATAATGTAAGTTGCAATGAAATGTGATTTCACGCTCTAGGAAAGCACCATCCACGTGGGGGACACTAACATTTAATCGGTTAAGATTTAAGTGTAACAAACACTAATTAGGTGCCTGTGCTGAGCACGATTCTTGGAGCCAGGAATTCAGTGGTGAATAAGACAGGACAGGTCTTTGCCCTTAGAGCTTACGTGCCAGGGGGATGAACAGTAAACAGAGTCTGCATCGGGCAACGTGCAGGGCACCAGGACTCTAGAAATGCAAAGCTGTGGTCCTGGCTGAGAGACAGTCTACTGGGGGAAATGGCAGAGAAAGCCACCGTGTTACACTGTGGTAACGGCTTTACGAGAGGCACGGATAAAAAAGTAACAACGAAGAGAAAAGAATGAGTATCTGCCTAACAGAAAGGTGTTTTAGGAGAAGGGGTTTTTTGGCTGGATTTTGAGGGGCTGAGTAGGCTTCCACGAGCTAGAGCAGAGGGTGGAGGGAGCACTTCCTCCAGTAACTGAGCACAGCTGTGTCACACACTGTTTGGACACTGAGGTAGCCAGCTGGAGTGAGCAGTCTAGTCGGCAGAGAGAGACACAGGGAAGTCCCAAGTGGTAGAGAAGTTCAAGGCTGAAGATTGCACAGGTGCTGTGGGGCCTGAGCTGACAGCCCAGGGGCTGAAGGCAGAGGGAGCTAATGAAGGATTCCTAAGAGAGCTGGTGCCCCAGCTGAATCTTGAAGGATGAACTACATTGCCAGACAAGGGAACAGCCTCCAGGAAAGCTCTGAGAGGTGGGAAGAGAACAGGGTATTGGGAAACCAGAAGTCTGAGAATACAGAGGCAGCATTTGATAGAAGACACGCTGGGAACAGGAGGCGGCCTTTGATTTGTGCTCCTGAGCTTGTCCGACCTCATCCCAAAGGCAATGCGGAGCCCCAAGGACCTCAAGCAAGTTAGCGAGATTTAATAGCCTTGAGACGGGGAAACATGAGAGGCACTTCTATAGAACAGAGGCCAGACATGATACGGCCTGAACTAGGAGACAATGGAAACAGAAAGGAGAAGGATCCAGGATCCGCAGAGAGAGAGGTGCAAAAGTAACGCGGGGTTTGGGGAACAGCAGAAAATGTGGGCTCCGCTGGCTGTTGATGAAGAGTGCCCGAATGTGTAGATGGGGAAGTGGGAGAGATTGGATAGAAAACATCCCTATTGTAAATCCTTAGCTTTTCATGTCCATGCATGTATTAAAAGAAGACATTCAAAGTAATTTTAGACCTACGGATTCAGATTAATAAATGTGTGTCAATGGACACACTCTCAGGAGTCCGAAGACGGCTCCATGGAGGTGTTTTAGCTCAATGACAAAGACCGACACTCGGGGAGGAGCCTAATGTGTGTTCTGTTCACCCAGGGCCAGGAAGGAATACTGGGAAAATCTCCGGATAGCCTCCGGCAGGCCATACAACCCTTCACTGTCAAAGCCTGACGCCTGGGGAATGACCAAGGGAACATCCGAGCTGATGCAGCAGAAAGAAGCCACAACTGAGCAGCAGCTCAGAGAGCTTTTCGAAAAACAGAAATTCAAATCTGCACAGTAGCCTTCGTGGAAGCTGTTTTGGGTGACTTCCTTTACGGTTGGGCCACAGCTCCTAGAAATACAGAAAAAGATAGTTAAAAAGCAATGCTTGTGCTAACGCCAGCCTACACATAAAGCTGGTACTAGCTGAACAAAATAGAATTACAAATAGCGCTTGACAATTTTAAAAGTATGTTTTAGAAGTTTACTTAGAAGCAAAATCAGTAAGGAGCGAACCTTAAGTAGGTTTACTGATTACTCACCGTGTGTAAGGTATTAAGGGAATCTCTGCGGCCAAGGAAAAGTAATTGGACATTAATCCGCCTTCAGGAAGTTCGCCTGGTAGTAAGGAGGAGGAGGAGGCGTGAGCTGTCATAAGTGGCTCAGGGCCAGACAGGGACAGATAGAGTGCTACAGGGAAGTGACTTCCAAGCTCTCTTGAACACGACCCTCAGCAAGAAACACAATTTATATAATGACCCAGTAAAACATATAATATACAACCACTGAAATAAAATGTGTGATCGATTCTGGTATTTTCTATTCCATTCCTTTCCGTCCTGTTTCATTAACAAAACATGCTGGCTGAGACCCTTGGAACTGACCTTATGACCCATCGATGAGTTTTGACCCATAGTTTGAAAAACACTGCTATGGGACACTTCGGATATAGGCACTTTGGTATTTCTTCAAGTTTATTCTTAGAAGATCAGTCGTATGGAACATAAAGTCCAGAGTCCTGCTCTCAGAGTTCCAGAGGTGTTCTCTCTCCTCGCTGACCCATTCCTACTGCTAAGAAACACACAGACTCATCTAGGTGTCCTGCTCAAAACTGGATCCACCCAAAGGCCTCCAAAGGGTAAGGCTGAGGAGCAGTGAGCCTGTGTTACTTTGGTAGCTTAAAAATAGTATAATAAAGGAAAAATAGAGTTCTCCAAACTCTATGCAGGTTTCTTAGATTGAGAGCTATGATATTTTCACATAATGTCTACTCTCCTATGAGAGCTCAAGGCTGAAGATGCAAGACCATTAGAATAAACATGGCTAGCCACTCTTACTGTACTAGAAAAGGGTTCATGCTGCTTTCTAAACATCCTTGGATGGGTTTAGCTGTTTTGAAACTAATTTTTTTCAGCTATTAAAAGAGAGGAGCTATTGGTTGTATTTGATTCTTAATTTTGTTCCATAATTAAAGTCCTATGTGAAATCTCTATACTTCAGTTTATTCATCTATTTAAAAAATACTACTACCTTCCTACTTCACGAATATGCTGGAGTTTTAAAAGAGGAAGTAGTAGTATTTAAACGGAAAAGAAATTTCCAGAATCTTCATACTAAAAATTAGTAATCAACCCCTCATCCTCCAACACATAGAAATAGACGAAGCAGCACATCTCTCAGAGGCTGCAGATGGCTGAGGTGAAATAGGAGAGTGAGCTCCACATTGTTTTCTTTTTTTTACAAAGTTGCTATGTACCAGTTTCTCACTCTCAAATCAGGTTCAATATTTAATTCTCGTTCATAGCGATAGAAACTTCCATTCCACTTACTGTCCTATTACTGTGTAAGATGCATGCCCCTTTAATATTCTCTTCAGAACTTTATTGCCACACAAGACATTGTAACCTCTAATCATTCTTCTATCCTTTGATGTAAATATTTCCCTCAAAAGAACATCATTGAAGATAGGCTTGAATGAAACTATGTGTCAACACTGCCGCCTAGTGGCATGTTGCATATTTTGAAAATGTTTTTGGAAATTTCAGCGCCTCCTCCAAGCACATTTATTTTATTTCCAGAAATCTTGTTCATTAAAAAGAAGGCTCGTTTGATACCTAAGAGCTTTTTTCATGTTAAATAGACATTTCTCACTGGTAAACATATTTTTATGGAATTAGAACCAGAGGGCCTTAGAGATCAAGAGTCTAAACTCTCCCTTTTAAGGTTAAGATTCTTAAGGCAGGGTGCCAAGTCAGCAAGGACCTCTCGCTAGTCCAAAGCTGCCAAGAAAGACGACTGTGGCTTGGATTCTTGGTAGAAGGGGAGAGGAACCAGAACAGATGCTTCGCAAAACTGAGGAATTCATTCTCTGGCCAGGAAATAAAGATCCTTGCGTTGCTCAGAGTCAATGTAAACTCACTGAATCAACTATTTGCAGTTTATGGCCTGACCCTTCTTTACACTGTAGCAAAGCACCTTTGGATAAGGGAGCCATGCCAATGCAGACCCACGATAGAGACCCAACTGGACGGGAAGGGATCAAAAGCGTCAGTTCCCAACTTCTCCAGAGGGGGGCAGCAGGTCACCAGCAGGGAATGCCAAAGAAGCTTACTTTGCTTTGAACTTAAGCTCTTTCAGCAGAATAAACCACCATTGAACGGCAGAAATATCTGCAGCCATCTTTTTAGTTTTGGTCAGTTTTTATCTAATTACGTCCAGGACGACTCACTCAGCACAGTAATCCTTACATGTCTCCAACTGGGTCCCCATTCTCCCCGCAGATCCTCATTTTTCCCAGCTTCAGGCACACTGGTTGACTGAAAGCTTTACACAGACTGTTTTCCCAAATAGCCTCCCTGTTAGTCAATAATATCCCGTTGGCCAGTCTGGAACTTTCCATGTGTTACCTGCCAGGAAGACAACCCTAATTAAATAAAGGAGGAAGAAGTCCATTTGAAGAGAGAAAAATAGAGGAGCCCTAGGAATGGCTTCAAGATTGTGTCTGACAGCGTGTTGAACAACAGAGATAACAAGGTCCAATATTTCTAAACATCTTCAGGAACAAACGAGAGGTTAGTGTTTGAACAGAAGATGATGGAAAGGCAGCCAAATACAGAGACTTCTCACGGATGGTGACAGGAAGGGCGGGGTCATTTGGCGAGAATTAGTGGGAGCGTGGTGAGGAAAAGGAATCGCCAGAAAATGCTTCCAGTTTCCAAGCCGCTGGAGGCATTCTGCGGGCCTGGGGCGATGAAAAATTAAGAGAACGGAGAGTGAGAGAGACAGACGACATCGCTGGTGCTGCTGTGAGCTGCAGAAATAAAGCCAGACCACTTGAGCACCGCAAAACAAACAGGTTAATTTATATGCCACTCAGTCAAACCCACGATACTTTTAGCACATGGTTTGACTGACATATTTGTGAAAGTTCCCTATGCAAATTTTTACATGAAGTGAGTTTTCAAAAGAAACATTTAGCTTCCTTTGAAGTAAAATTTATTTCCCCAAATGCCTAAAATATTTTTAGCAGTCATCACTTATATGCAAACTGTTAATGTACCGTTTATAAATTATTCCTATTTGTTCCCTCCAGCAGGTTCAGTGAGCCTCTACGTGGCCCCATTTTGTGGTTATTTGTTCCAATTTACTACATGGCCTTGAGAGGAAAAAGCTGAATATCTTTGAAAATAGTTCAAACTCTTCCCCCAATTCAGCCTGGCCATTCTTCCAATTATTTTGACTTAATGAGATGTTACTGTTCTCTGGAACATTCAATGTCTCAACATATGAACTGGCTCAGTGGAATCCAGCCATTTCCCAAAAACGCTAGTGCAATGCACTAGAAAAAGCAATGAATGCATTTCAACTCAGGAACTTGGGGTGCCAGTCCTCGCTTGGCGCCTACCTCCCTGGGCAACGCTGGATGAGCCACCTCGCTTCTCTGACCTTCAATTTTCTCATCTGTAGGAGGAAAAGTCTCTAACACCTTGCTGGAAAAGCCCCACACTTTCATGTTTCTGTTTTGATGGTATAGAGACACAAGGGCCTCATCATTGTCAACAAACGTCCTGAGTGCCACTCAGTGGTGTGTTTCCAGCAGACTAATTGTTAATTAATTATTCCCCCGGCTAAACAGATGGCAGACTAAAACAACACTGTTATGAGGGCAGGGAAAATGTCATCAGCCTCGACTCGCCCGGCACTGGGAAATGAGACGTCTTTCCTCCCCACGGGTACTGCTTCCTCGGGAGATTTGGGTCTGGGGTTCTTCATATGATGAAGTGTTTCTACTTTCAGCACTCAGAGTTCTTTGTAGGTTTGCATAAGGTATGGAAGTTCTAGAAACCTTCAAGTGGGTAATTCTTGTTTAGAGTTCTTCTTCTCCCTAGGAAGGGAGGGGAGGGTCCTCTCACATTTTATAGTGAGCTGGTGGAGTTTGGGAGCTAGAAGCCTCAGACCTTTTTCCTTCCATAAAGCCATTCTCAGAAGCTTGATGACTCCCAGATTTTTATCTCCAGCCTGGACCGCTCCCAAGAACATGCTCTAGACATCAGCCAGTCCCTGCCCTTGGCCTCAGGCCCTGCGCCCTGTCCCCTGGTTGTCCAGGCAGATGCCCACATCTGGACCTGATCCTGCATGGCTTCTGGTCACCAGAGGTGCCTTCCTCAAGATTTTCTAAGTCCCTCTCTAGTGGCTAGGACTAGTCAGAGCCGGTTGTGCCTTCTGGGAGGGGAGCCCAGCGCATGGACAGGTCACAGTTGACCAAGTGCCCAAGGAGCCCTAGGACTCTTGTTGGCCCCGGTTCCAGGAGGGGCAGCTGGTGACAGGATGGCTCCCAGTGACAGATGTAGCGTTTCTGTCCTGGAATCACATGAGATTGGGCTGCCCCAGCGTAGTGCTGACCCTCTGATTCCGTATGGCTCATGTCAGACACAGGACAAGTTGAGGACTCTGGGCCACCGAAGGTCCCCTGCCAGTCCTTGCCTTGAGCCGTCTACGGGCAACCCACATTGGCCCTCACCCATGGGGGTTCTGACCTCAGTGTTGCCCGCAGTCCACAGCACTCGAGGGCAGCAGGGGTGGCAACAGGTGTCCTCGCCTTGTGTGTCCCTCCCCAGACATCACCACTCCCTACAGCCCATCCCTCCGCAGGCTCTGCCATAGGTGTCAGGCCTCTCTGGGGTAGCCACACCTCGTCCTCTGAGGGTTTTTCAGACATTGCTCCACAATGTCAACAGGCTATTCTCATTAGTGTCCTCCGGCCTCTTATGGATACGGTGCTGTGCTGGTCTCAGGCTGGTTTGAAGTCATGCCAGATGAGAGATGGACATTCCTTAAGGGAAGAGAACTTCTCTTCTAGCATTTCCTGCTGATGGCGTGTGTGGAAGGCAGGAGCACAGTGAACATTCAAAGAAATCACATTCTACGAAGGCATCGTTTATGGCTGAACAACGTGGTTGGACATCCTCTACACTTACACTATGAAATCCCCAACAGTAAATTTATCAGAAAATGAATTATCATTCACATGTTCCCACATACTCTGGATAAGACGTGCACTTGTGGTCATCACCCACAGAACACAGGAGTCTCCTCTGAGAGTCACGGAAGCCAGTGTCTCAGACCGCATATGGACAACGTAGCATCAGGAGTAGCGGGCTAACCAGCATTAAATAAATGGTATTAGAGAGCTGTGGGAACAAGATCTATATCATTTCAATACAAACAGTTTCCAAAGAACCATGGCATGGAGAGTAATAATAGCATTGCTATCTTTTTCTCTCGGTGGAAGATACGAAAGCAGCACATTTGACAATAAGGAGCGAGAGGAGATGCTTCCTGTTCCTCAACAGGGAGAGACGGTAATCTCCACGTGCCGAAGAGCAATTGGCCAAGAAGCAAATGTACAAGGCCCTCTTTCCAACCCTCTGTTCTAAATCACACGGCAGATCACCACACCTCACATGGGCCCATGAATTTTTAAACACATTTTTAATCAAATATGTCTTTTAAAACAAATTGCTTATATAGACATATGTCCCAGAAAAATATTTCCCAGAGCCCTCTACACTCTAGGGACAGCCCAACTTGACTCTGAAGACAAAGTCCTGATCTTCCCTTGCCCACCTAAATTTGCCCTTCCCACAGTAGCTTCCATTTAGAATATGGCGGCTCCAATCTTCCAGTTGCTCAAGCCAAAACCTTGGAATCCTCACTGATTCCTCTCTTTCTCTCACACCCACTTTCAATCCATCAACAAAGCCTGTCAGATCTACCTTCAAAATATACCCAAGGGGGCTGGCTCTGTGGCCAAGTGGTTAAGTTTGCGTGCTCCACTGTGGCGGCCTAGGGTTCGGATCCTGGGCGCGGACATGGCACCGCTCGTCAGGCCACGTTGAGGCAGCGTCCCACATCCCACAACTAGAAGGACCTGTAACTAAGATATATAACTATGTACGGGGTGGGGGGGGGTTGGGGAGGCAAAGCAGAAAAAA